GTGTACTCCCTCTGTCCCAAAATAAGTGTAGTTTTGCACTGTTCATATCCAACATTTGACTGTTCTTCTTATTTGAAAATTATTATTATTACTATTACTATTACTATTATATGATAAAACATGAATAGTACTTTATGTGTGACTATTTTTTATAAATTGTTCATCATTTTTTCAAATAAGACGGATGGTCAAATGTTGGACAAGAATACGGGATACCTACAGCTGCACTTATTTTGGTTTCATATTAAAACCATCCATTATAAAATTAAATAAAGTTATAAATATGAAAAAGTTATGGTTGTATCAAAATAATTTAAAAATAATAAAGAGTAAAATGCATGGAGGGTCATTCAACTTATTCAAAATATATATTTGAGTCATTAATTTAAGTTAATTTTGTCATGTACTCGTCTAACTATCCATGTGAGCATAAATTACACATGACATATCACTTAGGATTGAAAAAAAAATACTTCTGGAAATGTGCAGACCTATCAATTTAAATGCATGATCTAGCAATGCCCCTAGCTTTGACCCAAAATAAATTCATTTTTCACCCATACCACACATATCAATACAATAAAAAAACTAAAATACCCCTACTTTATTAAATTAATGCAACTATTTTACACTTTGCCTACTCTCAATACAATTATCCTCTATTTTTACAAACTTTGATGTAATGATTACTAAAAGTGAACTTATTTTGGGACAAATGTAATGAGTCAAAGATGAATTTATTATGGTGGGACGGAGTATTTGAGTGGAAAAAATATATAGAGAAAATGAAAGATGTTAGGGTTTGATAGCAAGCGAGAGACCACTGAGAACTATAACTCGTCAAAGCAGAAAAAAAAAGGATTTGGTTCCACTAATATATATGGGGTTTTAAGCACATATCTAGATACAAGTTTTTTAATCCAACGTGGCATACTATACGTATGCTTACATGGGTAATTAGATGGATAAATGATTCACTTAACTCATATTAGTGATTCAAATATGTATTTTTAAACTAAAGTGTCTAGGTAACACAAACAAATTGAATGATCCCTTAGTACCCCTCCATCTCAAAATAACTGCAGTTTTACACTATTCACGTCCAACGTTTGACCATTCGTTTTATTTGAAATTTTTTTATGATTAGTATTTTTATTGTTATTAGATGATAAAACATGAATAATATTTTTTGTGTGACTTATTATTTTTATTATTTTTATAAATTTTTTATATAAGACGGACGGTCAAATATTGGACACGGATATCTACTGCACTTATTTTAGGACGGATGTACTCCCTCCGTTCTGTAAAAAACCAACCTAATACTGAATGTGATATATCCTAGTGTTATTGTACTATTCTAGATTTTTTTTTTCCGAAGAAGGGAGTAGAACATTTTACTCAACAATAAAATATTGTTTTCATCCCTACACCAGGCTGGCAAGGCAAGCATATCTGATCGTCTCCGTCGCCGGTGGCGTGAACAGCGCCGGCACTTTATGATGATTCAGGTCCAGGTCGGGAGAGTGACGGCCGGCCTGTGCCTGCCTGCCTGCCTGCTCTGCCTGATGTGATGTGATCGGACGGATGCGAGGATTGTTGCTGCTGCATGTCGCGGCCGGCCGGTGAATCGGTGATGATGATCTGCCCTTCTCGTCGCTTCGCTTCGTCCGCGCCCGCGATCGTACGTACGCCTCGGGCGCTATGCACGGCCCAAACGCCATGATTCCCCCCCTCTCCATCAGCTGAGGGAGATTAGATACACCGTTTGCACGGCCCGGCAATTATGAGGCGTGTCCGTTCGTTTCATGCATGCAAGCGCCCGGATCGACGGACGGACCATGGTTTGGTACTTTGGCCATCGGTGGATGGATCGATCGGTCGACGAACCGCGACCGACCTGTCATCTGTGTTCAGCGATCGATCGGCGTGAGACTGTGAGGTTGCATTGGGAGGAGCTGCGATTCTGCGAAAGATCCGAGAATATATCAGCAAGTAGTATCACCTCTCGATCGATGCGTGCATCAGGATTATTTCCAGCGGACCGACGAGGCATCTCTGTGCGACTGCGCGCGACGCCATCCGGACAGGAAACGACCGCTATATATCTCGATGACACGATCTGCAATTTGCATATCCTTGGCAAGTTGCATTTGCCACCCTGCGCAGAGATATGATCACGCCAGCTACCTTCCAATCTCCCAATTCCATTCGAACTTGACGAGTGATGACTGTGCCGACAAAACCAATTAACGGAGTAGTAGTAGTAGCATTCGGTGTGACAGATGCGTGTGCGCTACAGGAGAGAGTCCAGAGAGAGAGAGAGAGTGAGAGAGAGGCAGCGTACCCTGGTCAAGCGATTACTCAAAGTGCAGAACATGTCTCGTGTCTCGCCATATATATCGATCGATCAGCACACAGCCGTGGTCCCATGTTGTGTAGAGAGATCACAGTGCATATCCCCCCACACGTACGCGCACATGGCGAAGCGCAGTACCACGCGCTGTTTGATTTGGTCGACACATACAGGCGCCGCCTACTAGCTCAGCTCGCGATAGCGAGAGGAGCAAGAGATCGATCGATCGCCGTGGTACCCGACAGCGGGTGGCCACGAGGCGCGTCCCGAGCGCTGGGGGCCTCTGGCGCGGGCGAAGGCATGCAGGGATCGGCACGTTGACGCCGCGCGCGCGCTCGCGCTGCACCGGGCGGTCCCGCGGCGCGGTTGGACGGACGACTGTTTTTGCAGCAGGTTGGCCCATGAGGATGTGAAGATGTTAACGTACGGGGCATTTTTCAATAGCCGCCGAACGCTTACAGCTGCAAATGCCAACTTTTTTCTTTTCTTTTTTACTAGCTTGCAAATGATTGTACTAGTTGCATGCCAAACCTTTTCGGGTCGTCTTACAGTACTCTTAATTAGTCTACCACCCTGCTCTTTTCAGAACTTTACTGCATTATTACTGTGAATTGTTTGTTCTATTTAAATTGCTTAGATCACTTGTTTTAAACTATTTTGTAAATTTATTTATCAAGATATATATAACTTATCCTGATAATCTAATCAATAATCTATCTCAAAAATGATAGTAGCTTTTGCACTAGTATGACTTTGTGACACTAGTAACAATTTAGGGCATACTTGGTACAGCTCCAACTTCTAAATTTAGCTTCAGGAGTTGGATCTGGAGTGGAGTTGTGGAGTTGCCTAAACCCAGCTTCACAACTCTAGTTCATTTTGTGAGAGAGCTCCACCCAACTCCACTCCCAGTTTTGATGGAGCTGAAACTGTTTGGCTGAGCTCCAGCTACAGGAGGGGTGGAGCTGGAGCTAGAGCTGTACCAAACAGGCCCTTATCCTATAACTTTTGATTTGATAGCAACTACTTACCTCTTAACACTTGGCAGATTATACTTTCGTACTTCAGTTAGCCTTTCCTTATGTCTATATTATATAAGATCTATTCTTTTGGGCAATGTTCTAAGTATTATATGTCCCATAAACCTTGTTCTTAATCTATAATATTATAGCGAGTTAAAAAATAGATCTATTGTTCTCACAAATCTCAATAAACCTCTTTACACTGTCTTTGTTGTATCCCGAGTCTCCTGTCCATGTGCCACTCCTTATTTTCTTTAAGGAATCATCTCATATATGCATTGTTGTTTTTTTTAGTCTCTCTTGTACCCGTCATATTGCCTACTGAGAAACGCCCTGGGGTCTTCCGGCTAGCACCACAAGTTAGTGGGCTAGACGATCTGGGTTCGAAGCTTCACCCTTTTAATTATTTGATATTAGGTCCTTCTCTAATACTCGCGTCTTTTTTATCATATCGCCTACTAATCCCTTCCTTGATGATTCTATGATCTTGATCTCCCTCACCTATTATGTAAAAATGTCATAACCATCCTCCGTCAATCGCTCATCATCGGGCCGCAATATCCGATGATCTCCAAGGTGATCCCAGTCTGAGGACTCCATCAAAATGTATGAATTCTATAAGATTTTTGCAATACTTAGTTCAATTCCCATAAAGTTTATTTGTTCCATAGGAACCTAAAGGGTAGATCATCGGCATCAGAATGGAACTAAAGAACTTGGTTAGAAAGATGATCTCACCAGCTCAAGCACAAATGTTAACAACGTCCTACTTCGAGAAACTCGATTGGAGGGCATCCACAATCTTTTCACATCAATGGTAAGCTGAGAAAATCGACCAGAATGCATATGTGCATTAAGAAAAAAAAGTCACTTTTGAAGCAAAACTATAACTTGTAGGCATTCAAATACATTAAAAAAGAAAGAAAGAAAAGGCTATGATCTTCTGATATTTTTCCACCGAGAAACACGGAACAGAAACGCATGTACTTGCAACACGGGTTTAACTTTTTGATTTTGAAGTAAAAAACCGCTCCTTATCGGTTTACCGGAATCTGACCAAAAACCAATAAAAACCTATGACTTTCGGTCAACGCCGTACGTAAACTGACTAATACCGACCGGATTTAATAAACCGAGAGCCTAGCGGTTTCACGAAACCCAACCGATTTTCGTGAAATTCCATTGGTTTTGTGAACCTGGCGTACACTCACCCCCATGAATATACACATTATCCCTATAAGCATCTCCGGAAGATTCGACCGGCATATAGTGAGATTGACGAATTTACTACGGACGCCACATGGTTGACTGATAAGTCGCATATCACTGAAAGAATAATTAGCCATAAATACGAGTACCCGCGTCAAGTCTAGAACTTAAACCTAGATAAACGGGTTTCATCACAAAAACTCTGACCAGTTAATATAATCTCACTTCACAATCACTATCAGAATTTTGAATACACAAGAACGAATCAACGCCAAATTCAACCACGAAATAATTCGACCATCCATTTACGCCTGAGAGTTGAGACCGTACCATTCTGATGTCCGGTTAGGGAAAGCGGACAACGGCCGTGAGAAGACAAAAGGATAAAAAGCAACACTCCCCCATGTCGCTCTCACCAACAGTGGCACACCGCCTCCCCCCTCTCTTCCACAGCTCATCCTGTCCTGTTCATACTGCCACTAGCCACTGTATCAAGCAAGCTGAAGAGCTAAGCTACTGCCTGCTCTTCGCTTCCCTTCCCTTCTCCCTCCCCCATCACTTTCTTATCCCGAGCTCCATTCCGTTCCAGAGACCTCTCCTCATCAGTGCCAACCCCCCACACCTCTCATGGCCACTTGCCTGTGAGTGACACGCCGCTGATTCGTCCGCTTGCTTTGCTTGTTTGATCTTTCGAGCTAGCTGCTAGTGTGTGTGCACAGTTGCAGCTAGCTAGCCAAAGCTTTGTCGAGTGGTTTTGGTTGATTGCTACTCTGTGCCATGTCGTTCTGCGAGAGGGACATGAACAAGGAGAGCATGTACCAAGAACGGGACGACATGGCGGGGATACGGTTCGCGACGCCGCCGCTGCCTCAGCAGCAGCAGCAGCAGCAGCTGGTGGAGTGCTTCTCCGACGAGGTGGACAGCCGCGGGAGTGGCGGCGAGATGAAGGATGCCGTGGGGAGCGGGAGTGGGCAGCTGGTCGTTGTTGGTGGCGGGGATGGGGCGAGCATCGAGGTGGCGAAGAAGAGGAGGGGGAGGCCGCCGGGGTCCAAGAACAAGCCGAAGCCGCCCGTGGTGATCACGCGGGAGGCGGAGCCGGCGGCGGCGATGCGGCCGCACGTGATCGAGATCCCCGGCGGGCGGGACGTCGCGGAGGCGCTCGCGCGGTTCTCGAGCCGTCGGAACCTCGGGATCTGCGTGCTCGCCGGCACCGGCGCGGTCGCCAACGTGTCGCTCCGCCACCCGTCACCCGGGGTCCCGGGCTCAGCTCCGGCTGCGATCGTGTTCCACGGCCGGTACGAGATCCTCTCCCTGTCGGCCACGTTCCTGCCTCCGGCCATGTCCTCCGTGGCGCCCCAGGCCGCGGTCGCCGCCGCGGGCCTCTCCATCTCGCTCGCCGGCCCGCACGGCCAGATCGTCGGCGGGGCCGTGGCAGGCCCGCTCTACGCCGCGACCACCGTCGTGGTCGTCGCCGCCGCCTTCACCAACCCCACCTTCCACCGCCTCCCCGCCGACGACGACGCGTCGGTGTCCGTCTCGGTGTCACTCTCCGGCAGCGGCGACGCGGACGAACACCGGGGCCACCAGCACAAACCTGAGCCGCAAGAACCGCGCCAACTTCGACGGCCGCCACCGCACCTGTCAGCAGCCGCCGCCGTCTCAGCAGCACAGCCGGTGGAGCCATGCGGCGCGCCCATGTACGCCTGCCACCCTCAGCCACAGGAGGTGATGTGGCCGCCGCCGGCTCGTACGCCGCACCCGCCGCCGCCGCCGCCGTACTAATCCGACCGAATTGGTACGCCATTGCCACATTGCTTGCATCAAGGTTAATGGCGCAACGACGATGAACGCCTAGGTAATTGCTAGCTAGATCTCCATTGACCTTAGCTCCTAGGGTTTAACTCCATTTTCCTTCAGCTTCTAGCTAGTATGGATTTCGATCTGCATTAGCGTGGAAATATGCCTTCTTTGTTTCTTTTTTTTTGTTGCATGCACGTCTAAGCCTGGCCAAATGACACTTTTGCTTTTCTTATCTTCTTCGAGTATTTGCAAGCTAACCAAATCTGGTATAAAAAGGTTGTTTGCAGTTTGCACCAGTGATCGATCGAACTTGAGAATGCTGCTCTTATGATGTCTTTTGTTGCTTGTCATTGGTTGAACTACGATTTAAACAAGCAATCAAAGATAAATTTAGGATATTCTTTTTATATTTCTATTTTTAACGGTCATCAAAAGACGCAGAGATAGGGATATTTATATTCCATTATGTAAAAAACTTCCTTACCCGCGGCGTAAACGTGATGACTGATTTTTTTTAAAAAAAAAAGACAACGAAATCCCCTAAAAATAACCTCTAAATTTAAGTTCAGCGGCGGCTTAAGCCAAGGAGCAGCCAAGCAAGCAGACAGTATCTCTTTTTAGTTTCTTTTTTATATTTCCACTGACAATTGAAATAGTACGTCTATTTTCATATTAGAGGAAAGCGTTACCAGTGCATGCCCATTCTGCTATTTGTCTCAGATCTCTAGTCTAACCGTATATGGGCCTTCAGCCGCTCCATTCCATCTATCCATGTTCTCTACTTTGCTCGCTTTTTCTAGTTTTCCTTTTTCAAGGATGCAGATGAATGCACGCTAATATAACGATAAAAATGCAGTCACACTGACATAATCTCGTCGTATAATATTGTGCACTGGTTCGTTGGTTCATGTTGTGATTTGGGCTGCAAGTAGTCACCTCGGTTGTGATCGTATGTAGAAGTATTAATTTGTCGTAAGTGCATCCCTCATGTAATACTCTTTGTTTTAAATTCTTATGAATGGTTACTATTACTGTTTTAACTTCAACTTAACTTTTAACTTATTAGATTATAATGAATAAAAGTTAAATCTTTCCTTAAAAAAATAATGAAACTTAAATCGTTATAGTACTCCGTCCCATTTTAAGTATTCTGCGTCTAATTTTTTTTTGAAAATTTTTTATTTAGTATTTTTGTTATTATAAGATGATAAAACATGAATAGTACTTTACTCGTGATTTATACTTTCAATTTTTTTTCAATTTTTTTTTAAAAAACAAGACGGAACTTAAAATAGAATTGAGAGAGTATTTTAAAATATTTACATTTTTTTAAGAAAAAACGAGCAGTCTCACGGGACGATATTTGAAACATGACGTGGAATGTAGGACAGGCCTAGCGTCTGCCCCTGATTAGCTTGGCAGACCTGTACGAGTAGTACGTAGGAGTATACTCCGTTGACAAGACTTTGACGTGACAATATTGATGTTGGGCATAGCATTCACTGGCCTATGGCATCTTGGACGTGTCTGATTTTTACTCGCTTCCTGTGTGTTTAGTTCGCGCTAAAATTATTAGAATGGTTGAAATTGAAACGATGTGGCGGAAAAGTTGGAAGTTTACGTATGCAGGAAAGTTTTGATATGATGAAAAAGTTGGAAGTTCGAAGAAAAAGTTGGGAACTAAACCAGGCCTTCTTCTGGCCTACTCCGTAGGCCCGCTCAGGCCTGAGTTTACCTCGTGTTTAGTTCCAAAACTTTAAACCAAAAATGTCATATCGAACTTTTCTAAACATATAGAAAACTTTCAACTTTTTTATCACATCATTCTAATTCAATCAAAGGCCGTGTTACTTCACCCCAACTATCTCCAACTCTCAACTTTCCATCGCATCATATTACATCAAAAACTTTCCTACACAGATAAACTTCCAACTTTTTTTTCTAAACTCTCAACTTTCCCCAAACTTCCAACTTTACCCAACAACATACCCAACAACAATCACTACAAGAAAAATGATTTGTAGAGACATTTTTCTAGTTCTGTAAAGGCACTTATCAAATGCCTTTACAACAATGTAGAGGCATTTTAAAAAATGTTTAATAAGTGTCTTATGGTGAATTGTCTCTACAGACAAAGAGACATTTTATAAAATGTCTATAAGATGGTAGAGGCATTTCCTAGAGACATTAAATTGTACCGCAAACATATAAAACCAATCCCAAAAAGAGAATAAAAGAGTTTCCTTGCTTTTGACAAGTCTTGAACTCATGATCTCTTGGTTAGATCATTTTAATCTTCAATACAACTCAACTCCATGTCATTACTTGTATGCTTGTTCCTTTAGTTACTTATATTTAGTCCTTTAGTACACATTATCATTCTAAAAAGTGTCTCTACAAAGTTTAAAATGTCTCAACAAAATGCATTTACATATTAGACGCATTTTATAGTGCCGAAAGAATGCCTCTACGAGATAAAATCTAACAAACTGTTCTAAAAATGTCTTTAGAGTAAAAGTTTTCTAGGCAATTTTTAAAGTGCCTCTATAAAGTGTCTCTACACTATAAAACTTCTGATTTTAAAAGCAATTTGCAAAACGCCTATACAAAAGTGCCTCTATACGAGGTTTTTGTTGTAGTGAATACAGGACTACACACTTCTAATTTTTGCGTGGAACTAAACACATCCTTACTAGTCCTACGGATTTAGTATTTTACTATGCCCTGGAGTACAGGATTAGAAGATCTTACACAAATACTCTCTTGCTCCCAGAATATAATGGATTTTGGTTGGATATGACATGTAGGATGTGTCACATCCAACAAAAATATTTAGGGACAGAGGGAGTAGCTCATTTCATAAATATGCTACGGCAATTTATATTAGCTTCAGGATTTTTTAAGGTTAATACAGCTTCAGGTATTTTACAGTGAATTTAAATTAGATTTAGGGTGTTGTGCAGAAATGTAGAACATTTTAGGGTCCCTTTGAATCGCATGAATAAAAAATCCGAGGAATAGAAAAAATACATAATTCTGACATGAATATAAGTGCAAAACACATTAAATAATGACTATTTGGTTAAACCGCAGGAAAAACGTAGAAATTAAATGAGAGAGACAGACTGAAAAGAAATTTTATGAGGTTGGAGCTATTGCTAAGTTTCTTTTAAAATCTTTATAGGATTGTCGATTCCATAGGACATTCAAAGTATAGGACATGATTCAATCCTTGGTTTCAAAGGTCTTTATAGGAAATTTTTCTATAGAATTGATATTCTCCAAAATTTCTTTAGCATGGATTAAGGTTAACGAGAAAATACTTTTGATTCCTCTCATTGATAAATGAATAGTTTGGGTAGGAGGGTTATCGGGGAGTAACATGGGAACAAATTTGAATCAAAGGTGATTGATAAGATAGGTAGTTCCTATAAAGAGTATACAAATACTTATATTGTGATATAAACTTTGAATCGTGAAAACCATTATATTTTAGAAATACTTTCATTGTTTACAAATATAAGCATCTGAACAATAAAAATTCAAGGGCCAATACTTGGTATAATACATGTGTATATGATTTGTTGAGTCAGAACAACTCTATTTGATTCAAGAATTACAAAATAGCCAAAATAAAAATACTCCAAACCAATAGTTATATTTGACTATAAGTATTATTTTACTTCAATTAAGGATTTAGGTTTTTTTTTCATATATTGATGTTTTTGAAGTTTGTACCCACATGGAAAATCCCATATTCACCGCTGGTCATGGCTTCGTTTTGTTCTCTCTCAATAATATACTCCTTCCTCTCAAAGTATATGATATCTAACTTTTTAGAGATTAAGGATAAATGAAAAGGTCTATAACACCTTAAAATGATGGATATATAGAGAGAGTGAAAAGGGTTGTTAGGGTAAAGCAAGTTAAAACTGATAGCTAGATGGTGGAAGAAGTAGTACGAGTAGGAGGTGGTGAGGAGGAGGCGGTTGTGCAGGTGGGGAGAGCAGGAGAAGGGAGGGGAAGGAGATGAGCGCGGAAGAGATGGTGTGGTAGAAGGCAGGGTAGCGGCCGCCGGCGACGTGGAGTAGGACAAGGAGGCAGTGGGTGAAGGGTGCTCCGACGAGGGAGGACGATTGGATGGGATCGATCCCCTTTTTCACGCAAGTCAATGAAAATGGCTCGGGGCAAATAGGTCGAAGCACAATTAAAACATTTCGAAATCACCTGAAATGGTCGAATTGGCGTTTCAGTAAGTTCGCTTCGTTTGAAAGAGGCATTTTAACGAAGCCATATTCCGGAGTGGCATTTCAGGGAAACTCTATCCCGAAGATGGCAAAATGCTAATTTTTTGATATCATATTAATTAATAGATATATTAATATGTATTAGATCTCTACTAATTTTTATTCTGGATTCGCCTTTTAGTACATGTGTACTGTGTATTATTGTTCATGCGTTAAGGATGCTTTAGCTCAAGTATCCGTGCCTCCGTGGATGAACAAGTCCTAAATCGTAGAGCAGAGACGAGGGTGTAGAGAAAGGCCTCTAGCCTCTAGGGCGCTTTAGCTTTCCCCCCGGAGATGCAAGATACGATCGCAGGCCACCCGCTAAAGTACAACCAGGCCTGCAAGCAAAGCCCACGAAAGGAAAGGCAGCCATGAGATGAGATGACTGCACAGTGCCCAGCCGCACCGCAATAAAAGCAGCGCCTGCTTAGCTTAGCTTCTGCGGCTGCCTTTGCTTCTTCGGTGCCACACCTGCAAAACCACCTAAACATCTCTCTCCGCGCAAAGCAAAACCACCGAAACGTCTCTCTCCGCGCAAGCTAGCGAGGTGTACTCGATCCAACGATCGATCAACGTTGTCTTATCTTTCCTTCTTCTCTTTTGGTCAGGACAGGCAAATCCAGCCTCTTTTTTTCACTGCTCTACTCCCTCCATCCAAAAAAACAAACTCTGAATTTCCGTGTCCAACATTTGACCGTCCGTCTTATTTAAAAAAATATGAAAAAAAAATAGAAAGACAAGTCACGCATAAATATTAATCATGTTTTATCATCTAACAATAATGAAAATACTATTTATCTCTTCTCTATCTCTACTACTTAAAAAATAAGAGGTGCTTCCATCGTCCGTCAAAAAAAAACGGTGAGTAAAAAAATGTGCGAAAAAAAACCGGGAAAAAAAACCAACTTTGTCCGATAAAAAGAACGGGCGAAACAAACAGAAAAAAAAAATTCACCGGCGAAAAAAAGCCGTGCGAAAAAAAAACCAGTCCGATCCAAAAAAAGCGCGAAAAAAACCGGCCCAAAAAAGGAAAAAAAAC